GATGGAGTACAGTTTAACATGAATCAATAAAAAAGAAGTATAGATAGAAAATAAAAGAAACTGCACCAACCAACGTATTAGCAACTATAGTTTATAGCCAACCAACAAAGTTAGTGATGGATTAGTAAGTAATCATTCATTTCTAATCAAAATTTCAAATTTGAGTCTTATTGAATATATAATCAATCGTCTATATTAAAAAACACTTAAATAGGTCTCCAATTATGATTTTTTCGGCAATAAATTAAATTTAGTTAGACTTCAAAATTAATAGAGATACAAACCATAAAAATACAATTGACAAGCCAAACCTCAAAAATTAGATGATATATAGACAAATTGTTGATTCTGTGCACACTATTTCAACAATAAAAATAAGAGGTGTCCAATCTCATTCATTCATATTTTTAAATTTTAAATATAAAATCATAGTCACATACCCCACTTAGCTTTGTCAAAAAGCGTTAAGTATGGGAACAAAGCAAAAATACGAAGTAAAATGAGACAGAACTTTATAGTATTATATTATTTATCAACTTTTTATCTCTCTATTACACTTTCAATACCAACTTGCCCCACCATACCCTTTTCTCATTACCAAACCAACAATATATTAATATTTTTCATTAAATTTCTGCAACTTTACTAAAAATAAAGATTAAAATAGTGATATCTTGCCTTGTAGGTCAAAAAACCTATTTTTATTGACATGGGCTGTGCAGTTTCTGTAATTATTTAACTGTTAAGCCAATTACCAATGCATGCGTTAAAAGATTCTGCTAGACTCTGTAGTACCACTAGTACTTCCTTGCTGAAAACGAGTGTACAAGCTACCCAACAATAGCAACAATAAGAAGAATAAAACTGTAAAACTATTTGTCATTATCACTCTCTTTTCCCTGAATTTATACTAGTCATTTGTGAGATTTTATTGGGTATGTTAGTGTAGTTGTTAAAGGAGCTAAAAGACTTTGGTTTGGGTATGCATGAAGTTTGAATGATTGTGTTGGCTAGATTTGAATTGCTAAATCTCATGCTGCAATAGGCATTATGTTCTCCATAATGTTTGTGACTTCCAAACTGCTTTAGAGGTTCAAATTACAAAGAAAACAAATTCTTATCGAAATTACCAAATTTGATCATTAAAGAAAATTTTTCAAATTCTCGAAATTGATGAATTTTATCTTTTCCTATTGACATGTTTTCTTCTATTACTAGGAGTGTTGGGAAAAAGTAGAAAAAGCAAGTGACAATTCTCGTCCATGGAAATTAGAAGCAAAAGTGGTGAATTCAGTGTTTGAACAATCTAGCAAAAACTAAAGTAAAACTTTAATAAATCACTTTACTGTTTATTCTAAACACAAAAGATGAAATTTGGAACTAATTTTTTGCTTCATCCTTCCACACATAATTAAATTAGAGAAATACAAATTACTCGCAAAGTGAACTTTTTAGATCAAAGTCATTAATGAAATTTCAAATTTACGATCATTGTTCATGGTAATTTGCCGTAAAATTGGAAAAATTACGGAATTAAGCTACGTAAAAGGATATACTCTGCCACACAAAATCAAAGAGGATTAATAAGTTTTTAACTCCTAATATATGATTGCACTACTCGTATTTATTTTATGTCTAATTAATCAGGTACAATATACCTAGTAAATTGGTAATTTACTCGGGTATGCTCACAAGTACAGGTCGCCAAGCCCTCCTCAGTAGCCGTTGCCGGAATGTCGCCGATAACGGCCGAAGCGAACGTAAACCTATTCTCCGAACAGCTGATCCCGAGCTAAACCCGCCGCCGGCACCAGAGGCTGCCGGCGAGAGTCCTTGTCTCGTATTTTCAGCAAACGACGGAGGCGACGAAACAAACAAGTCCTTCAGCTTATGACTGACCACAAGTTCCTTCCCCTTTTCCGTCGAATCGCGTTCTCCAACGAACCGATCCGGCGAACAGACTTCCCGTCGCGGCAGCCTACGGCCACTTCCGCCGCCGATGCTACGGCTGAGGAGCATACGGAGAGTCTTCCGTCGGCGGAGGTGAATAACTGGGCTTGTTGTTGGACTCCGGGTTGGACTTCCTGCTACTGCACATTGAGTTGCGAGAAGCTTGAATTTCTGCAAAGTAGCCATTTTCGTTGCGATCTGAGGTAAGTATTTCTACAAATTTAACAGTATTAGTAAAAAAAATTTGGTTGGCAAAAATGGGAGTGAAGAGAGGGGGAATTGGGAAGGGAATTCAGAGGATTTAGCAAGGCCGAAGAATATGGACCGTCTGTTTTGGGTCTTTTAAGGCTTTTCTTTATCCTCCCCACTTATAAGCCTGCCGCGGTATTATACTGAAACTGAAACGTGGCCTCTTTTCCCAAGTTAGGAATCACTCTTCATTTGTGGGTCCAGTTTTTCTTCCTTTTTACCATATCGTATTAGAACTTTTTTAGTTTTGAATTTAGCCTTTATATATACATATTGTTAACCTAAAAGTAATTTTTACACAAATTTTATAGTGTTAAAAGAGCTAATTACATCTTATTCATATATTTTTTTAAAATTACAAAAATTCTTAAATTTGGTAAAATTCGGATACATCCAAAAATGTTCTGATATATCGCATTCCAATTTCAGATACATCGCGTACGTCCTGATAAATCACCTATAGTGATATATTCGGCCTATACATTGCATTAAGTGATACATTATGTTTCAATACATCACATATAGTGATGTATTACGTCCCGATACATCGTGTGTGCCTGTATGGTGATGTATCCAATCGATATATCGCGTAAAGTGATGTAATCGAGAATATGAGAGAGTAGGGATTCTTATAATCTTTTCAAACGGTAAAGAATTTTAGAGGATATGATAAAATAAGTTATGTATTTAGATAATTTTTTCTATTGTTAATACATATCGTTAATGTAGAATGAGTTATTGTAAGAAGTTTTAAAACTATATTGTATATGAATTTTGTTTATTAAGAATAAATGGCCACTTGTATATTCCCTAAGTTTCAATTCCATGTTCTATGTATACATATTGGTTGAACGTGTTCGTGCATATTTATCCAAGTTTGGGACCATTATAATTCCTATGCGCGGTATGTGTATACATTGACTGGACCCGTTCATTCTTCCTTATCAAAGATAGATGAAAGGACCACTCTCCATTCTTTAATTCCAAAGATACGTTAATTAGTTATCATTGAAAAATGAAAAAGTTTTCAATTAGTAGTTAATGAAATTTGGGATTGAGTTAGGTTTCAAATTCATATTTTACATGGTATCAAATGAGGACTCATCTCACCCAATATATGTTAGACCTGAAAAATTCTCACATACGAATTTAATTATGTAAAAGTGAATTTTGAATTTCAAACGTAATTGTTTTTTACATTTTATTTATTGGGATAGATGATTCAACCATGTTATTGTGCCTTTGAGATCAAGATTTAAGAGGAAGCAAGAAGAGTAAAGTTTGGATTTTGAATATTTAAAAGTTAATGTATATAATTGCATGCGTATGTGGAGTAGTTGTCCATCAACGGAACAAAATAGGATGATGACCATCTCATTATTCGGCGTTAACGCTATTGTCACCAGTATCGTAACTTACATTATCACATTTGTCGTTTCCCCACTAATTTCTTATCATTTCTCATGTTTGTGTTAACATAAGTGATTTGTTTTGCCTTTGAAATGTATCCACGTGTAGCATTCTTACATATTAATAGCACTTCTTGTTTAAGGCAATTTTTGAAAAAGTAAAATAAAAAATTGTCCACTTTACCATACTTTTAATACGTATTGAATTTTCTCAATTTGAATTACAACGTACGTTTAAATATCTTTTTGTTATTAGTTTAGTTTATGGATATAAGTATCTCAAATAACCCCATAGGCGTTAGACCGAGCAACTAAATTAGTGTAGATCGCTTATTTCAAGTGTTTTTATGTTAAAATAAGTTTTAAACCGTTTAAAGTGTTCGAATAAAATTAAAAACATCTTATACTTGTTATAAAGTCAAAATAGCAAAAATAAGTCAAAAGTCAATCCAGACAGGCGATTTCTAGGGAGTAAATTAGAGTAAGGCGATTTATTAGTACTAGAGCAATGTCATATTTGCGTTAATTTTATGTCAGGTAGAAGCTAAAGAAAGTAGGTGGTAATCGGAAAGGAAGTCAAGGCAGACGGCAGTAGACATTCTCTTTGTGAGGGGTTAAAATTGCTTCCATTTTCTTTTGTTAGTTTTCATTGACTTGGAAAAAGTTGAAACATTCAATTCTATGATCAGCAAGTAAAAGCCAACAGGTATTGAGCTCACCTACTTTGCAGGATCACAAGGAAATTTCCACAATTACTACTGATGAATGACATTCTAGGATTAACTGCTTCCAAATCGAAATTTGGAAGTCCATCAACTCTGTAAAAATTCTCCTCTGAAATGACATATAGTAATTAAGCAAACTATTGTGGCCGGCCAGGAAGTCCTAGAATTTAGAAACAATCTCTTTTAGCAATAAATGCAAAATAAAGTTGTATACGATAGATCAATCAATGTGGTCCTGCAGGTGTATTCTCAAATTGAAATTTATGCGTTTTTATAATGATCTCATGTTAATATAAAGTGATTACTGAATTTACAATTAAATATTTATATATATTTAGTGAATTTTTTTGAGGAAAAACTAATGAATTCACGTGAACGACTATAATATATGCTACCTCTGCTCTCTAGAGCAATAGGTAGGGTGTTCCCACGAATTGGAGTTCTGTTCCTTTTTTCTCTTTACAATTTAATATCAGAGCATGTTCCTTAGGCAAAACCTAGCACTCCAAGCTACGAATAGGCTCAGAATATGTTCTGCTGCAGTGCATTTTTTTTGCATTATTGTTGTTGCATATGATTTTCATGTCCTCAGCATAAATGAACTTTAAGGTAACAGAAGGTCGGTAAAGAAACAAAACCTGATGTACAAAGAGCAAAAGATGCATATATATGTATACTAGAATGTTGGCAGCCCTATTCACTATTTATATACATTGCCTTACGCGAAAAGCAGTTTTAGATAATCTCCCACAGAAAATATTGACGATAACAAGATAACTATATGTAAGCAAAAATAAGAAATTAATTATCTATGGAAGACGCGAGATACTAGCCCAAACATGACACTGATCACAAGTGCCAAAATAGTAGTTGCTTCTCCATCTAGCATTGAATTCAACCGACCTGAAAAACATATTTCATCCACTAGAATGTGGTGTGGAGCTGTCAACTCATTTGTCAGTGGCAACTGAATCCGGAGAAGAAAAGGAGTCCTTTAGGAGCCCAACATCATCTACCACAATATCCAGTACCTCAGCATTGTGTGCTTTCGACTCTCCATTCTGGATGCCTCTCAATGTCTCCAGCACTTCTTGCATTGAAGGTCTCAGATCTCTCTCTTGTTGCAGACATCGGAAAGCTAACTCAGCGACTAATGTAGTCATCCTCCTCACGGAACTGTTTGTTGAGTATCCAAGACTTGGATCAACTAATTCATGAATTGAATGGCCTTGGATCTTGTTGACAGCCATATTAGACAAATTAATATCATGGCGGTGCCTGTTGGTATCCACAGCTTCTAATGATGAGATCAGCTCTACCAAGACCACCCCAAAACTATAGACATCACTCTTTTCAGTGAGCTGGTAACATTGGTAGTATTCAGGATCAACGTAGCCTGGTGTACCCTGTGGAGCAGTAGAGACATGTGTGACATTATTTGGGAACAGTCTTGATAGCCCAAAATCAGCAACTTTCACATGGAAATCATTGTCTAACAGAATGTTGTTGGTTTTGACGTCACGGTGTATTATATCTGAGGAGTGGAGATAAGCCAGAGCTTCAGCAGTCTCAATGGCTATGTTCATTCGGACAGGCCAAGAGAGTAAGCCAGATTTGGCCCGTTTACCATGCAGATGATCTGCCACTGTCCCATTTGGTATATACTCATAAACAAGCAGTAAATCTCGGCTTCGTTTAGATGTACACCCATACAACATCACTAGGTTCTTGTGGCGGAGCTGAGTTAAAATCTCTACTTCATTCATGAACTGCTCCACACGCTTGAAATTGTTCTCATACAAGCGCTTGACTGCAACCACGCGACCATCATGGAGCTTGCCTGATAACAAATTACTTGGAATTGTTAGGAAGCCCTCTCACAAAGTAATAATAATGCAAGAAAGAGAATACACATACCATAGTACACGACACCAAAACCACCATCCCCAAGTTCTTTAGATGGATCAAAATTATTTGTGGCTTCTTCAAGTTCAGCAAAACTGAAGACATGTGCCCCAAAGTAGGAGCTTCCCCTCCCGTAATCAGCTTCAGATTTGGAAGAGGGATAAGAGGGAATGCTTCTGGTGAAAGTGGTTGAAGAAGGAGTAGAAGAGGAACTCAGCCCATTGCTTGAACTTAAAATTGGAAGATCCTTCCTTTCGGTTTGGGAAGCTGAAGTCTGTGATGCAATCCGCTTTCTCTTTTGTCTGCAGAAGAAGACTAGCCACCCAACACCAATGCCAGCAAGTACAGCACCTCCTACGCTAATGCCTGCAATCGAAAGAAGAAAGTTTACAATCTTCTCAAGGCATTGACCGTGTCAATTGAGTTGTACTCGTATAACATTAGAACAAAGACAATACCTACTGCAAGTGGCGTCTGATTTTTCTTTCGATTATCTGCAAAACAGTCATAATGTCGTCAATTAAGTGGTAACTACAATTGATGCTCAGGTAAACATAAGGTATATCCGGCTGTAATTAGGAGAAACTAACAAAACTCATGTGGCGAGATGAAATGGGTGTATTCGCTAATAATAGATCTGAAAAGTACAAACTATAAGAAAGAAGCATACTGTAACAAGAATTCCTAGGGATACCTGAAGAGAACATACCATGGAAATCTAAAAACTAACATGAAGATTCTAGTAAATCACATTGGATTACACTTCGTTTCAAGTTCACTTTTGTGTTAGTACGTCGCATAGTGTTTTTTAGGTATCCCTTGAATCAAAGACCTATATAATAGGCGCTATAAGATAACAACTACTCATGCAGTCATAACAAATATAAATGCAAAAGCATGAAATTATAATTGGAAACAACCTCTCTAACTTCACAAGGTAAGGCGAAGACTGTGCACACAACACCCTTCCTAGACCACACTTGTAAGATTACACGGGATACACCACTACACATATACCAATCAACCGCAATGTAATCATGTCGGAGTAGAACAAACAATGTCTTAGACCATGAACTCAGGATTCATCAACTAGAACAATCGACACCTATATGTACCGATTCTCTAACTGGGTTACTGTTAAGCTAAATCCATTCAGTCCCGAATTTCAAACTATAGATTTCTATGTTTAATAATAAGAACTCCTAATTAGTAGTAAAATTAAAGGATAAAGTTCTCAGTTGTCAGTACCTTGTGAGGAACTTTCATGAGAATGTTCTTGAAGAAATGTACAAGGCATTTCTCCACAAATACAAATTAGCTGAGACAACCCCACAATAAATCCGCAATTCCCACCCAGACTCTTGCACTCAGAACAGCGCCTATCATAAGGGGTATCATATTTCACACTAAACCCCTGCATCAATGCCTCCCCAAGAGTAATCTCATTGCTATATAGCATTTTACCAACTGTTCTAAACATCGGAACAGTGACCATTGTTGTACAAGTTATGACATTCAGAAAAGGGTCACTTGGAATTGGACCTAGTAAGTAAAATGCGCCGGTGAAATTCAAACCGTCTACACTACAGTTGAACAAATTCTGAGGCGTGATAACCAATGCAGAAACATCGCAGCCGTAGCTCAACGAAAGTTCATCGTCTTCGTTACGGTCGACGTTGAAACGAGTAGAATTAAAAGTAGTGTTGATGAATTGCGAAGGGCAGGAATTTTTCCAGAGGTCGATTCTCGATACGGTCATGGTCTCTGATGACTGATTAATAGAAAGAACACGGTAAGTAAGTGATTGGTGAGTGAACTCGGTGCGTTTGTCGTCAACACATCGGAGTTTGAAATCCGGGAGGCCACAGTAGTTAGGGCGATCGCCGCCGGTGAATGGGTAGGTGATGTTACGGATGGAACCACAGGAGAAAGTGAGATGACAATTGGGGAATAAGACGTTGTCATCAGAGAAGGAGAAGGAGAAGGATGTTGTGAGAATAAAGGTGGCGAAGAAGAGAGTAGTTGTGGTGGTGGCGCCGCCGCGGCCATTGGTGGTGGTGGAAGGATAGGAGAGAGTCATTTGGAATACGAAGAGAGAATGAGTGAGTGAGAGTCATAGATAGAATTATTTGTAGTCTGTAGATTCATATCTGTATATTATTATTGAAAGGGAATTTGGAAGATGGTGAGAATCTGAGATTACATTTGAAAGAGAGAGACAAAAAGGATTTGACTGAAAGTTGAATATTATTACTACTCACGTTGAATATGAAAAGAAAGAAGTTTGAAAGACGCCTAACTTTTAATGAAACATTTTAACTTGGTCTAATATATTTTAACTTGGTCTAATATGACATTAAGTATACATTTTAACTTGGTCTAATATGACATTTATATCATTCAATTTTGGATATACAAAAATGTATATTTAAATTTTGTATGAAATAAAATAAGTAGACATATGCATCTACATGATATCTCACACGAATTAGCATATAAGATGCGTATATCTACTTGTTTAATTTTATACAAATTTAAATAACTATTTATTATAAATAGAAGGGTAAGTTTACTATACCATCTTTTGAATATAATAAATACAATATTTAAAAAAATATAATAGAGAAATAACTATTTAATGATAAGGGTAAATTATGAACTAACTGTAAAATTATCAATTGATTTCATAAAGTGGATAGATAATGTTAGCTATTCCAAAATAGTATAACGGACAACATCCAAAAATAGAATAGTGGACAACAATTTGTATAAATAAAAAATTGAAGGACATAAATATGAAGTCAAGTTAAAAAGGATATTTATTTATTATGCCAAAAAATTGAATGTTAAGGATCTATATAATTTATAAACCAAGACCAAAAGAGTAATTACTCCCTCTGTTTCATTTTACTTGGTCTTTATATTTTTATTTATCCATTTTAATAAATTAATTTTTCAGATATTTTTATTTGTCCATTTTGATAAATTAAGTTTTTTAATTATATTTTGCCCATATTACTATCTTTAATATTAAATAACTATATAAACTAGCAATAATTAAAGTTAAGGTTTCAGTATATTATTAATAAAAATTAATTCAATAAAAAATATTCTTAACCAAAACTGTCTTAATATTTATGTCAAGTAGATATGAATTAAAGTAAAATGAAATCGGGGGAGTAGCACCTAACTTGGTGTGGTCAAACCTCAATAAAATTGAATCATAAAAGGTTTAGTGTGAATTCCACTAGAAACAAGAAAAAAAAAAAAACCAACTGTAATTTTTTATTTTTTATTATATATGTTTAATGCATTGATCAATGAATAGAATTATCTAAAATCAAATTGTGTTTTTTTAAAGAGGCAGGTAATATATACAATAATTTCACAGTAAAAAAGTCGTTTCAGTTTCCCGCGTTTTATTCAAGCGCCAACCAAGTTTGAATTATAACACAGAACTAACTAAAAGTAAAAGAACTACAAATAAAGAACTGTATCCTTGTTTACTTTGTCAATAAAAAGGTTCAATGAAATATATGTATTTTTTCTGGTTAGTTAGAGAATTATTGTACTTTTCCTATTATTTATAATATTTTTTAATCCGAGGCTTATTCTACTCGGATTAAGAATAGTAGTTTCTTGTGTTTTGACAATGCCAAATGTTGAATTGCCGACGAGAAGTAAACAATACAACAACGGCAGAAACACAGACACAGTACTAAGTCTAAAATTAGGTCCCGAGTTTTTTATTTTGTTGTAGTAATAACATATCTTATTTTTCAAAGATTTCAAATTTCACATAAGGAAGTTCGTGTACGAATATTCTTTGCATATAATATATACAATTATTTACGTTGATATAAAAAAAAAGAAAAAAAGGAGCTATACTAACACGCTCAAGAATTGGGGCTGGACCAAAGTAGATAGAGGGCTAGAGGCTGTAGTATTCAGAGTTTCATATGGAATTTGGACAAAATTAAACCCGTACAAAATTTTATAGAGAGTTTAATTCTAGGTAAGCAATGCAAAAAAGTACTTCCGTTGGTCCATATTATATAATGTTTTTAGTTTTTATATTTAGTTCGAAATAAATATTTTTTCAAAATAATTAAGAAGGTTAGGTTTTTTCCTTCAAAGTTATCCTGATTTTTGATACTATACTGATTGCGAAAGAATCTTTACTAAGTTAGCGTATGTAATTCAAATCTCTTGGGAAAGGACTGGAATGATGGTTTGGATCGGACATGTATTTATCTGGAAACGAATGGACGAATTAAATTATGAGTAATAGTAGAGAGAAGATTACCGCCGGCTTGGTTTTGTCCGTCGTTGCAGTCGTTTGAATGAGTACCATTTAGACAATGGCAAGCAAAGTCTCCAGAATCTGGATTGGATCCACATCTTCCACCTGACGTGCGGCATTGTTGGCACTTAGAATCAATACCTGCCGTCCAATTAACTGAAAAACCGCCAGCAATGGCTCTTCTTAGAACTTCCACGGATGCTGTAGGACTGGCTAATGCCACAGCACTCGTTTGATTGACCCTAGCTATTATTTTTTCCTGGCATGTTACCAGACTAAGGTCGAAGGGAACGTTGATCAGCGTGTATATACCAAACATGTTGCTATCGCAATTGAACCTATTTGGAGGCGAAGGTGGTAATTGCAAACCAGGGCGGACGGTGCAGCCGAAATACAGAGTAATATTCAGGTCACTAGAAACATAGCTGAAAGTGTTTAAATCAAAGGAGGCATTCTTAGGATTATCCAAACAAATACTACTCCGTAAATCATCCCGAGCCAGGGTTACAATTCGATTAGGAGCGTTGATATCTATCACTTCGTATCTTGTAGATTCAATTGCAATTTTGGGTATGTTACTTTCGCACTTGATCTCAAAACTTGGATGACCACAATACTCTGGTTGTCCCCCTCCCCAAAAAGGGTAACCTATATCCATGCTGCCGCAGCGAAACAGCTCACCACAATTCCTGTATTGCTCGTCATCTTGACAGAAAGACCCCGGTATATAGATCAAGATAAATATTGTGGTAGTGAAGAGCAAAGAATAAGGATGCATTTCTGTTTGATTAAGGGAACTAGCACCACCTAGAAAGAGAGGCGCTAACTGGTAGTGGTGGCAAAAGAGCTTTATTCAGGAGCTAAGCTGAAAGGAGATGAGGACTTAAGGGACAGAGAAAGGAGTTTGGAAGAGAACAACAAATTAAATTAGGAAGATGAGACATAAAATTCAATGATAAAGATGGGGTGCTGTATTTGTCATGTTTTGGTCAACATATAGCTACCAGTAGAACGATCTTTTGACGAAACAGATACCAAATTTCGCATATATTTACAAGAAAAGGGTGATATAGAAGCTTCTATTGGAATTTAGTGGTGCTAGACTTGGTCTAATTCAACAAACACCGTGTCTTAAAAAAAATCATATTACTTTAATTATATATAAAACCACTAGCATGACTCACGAAATTTAATTAATAACTATGATAAGAGTCGTCTATTTATATTTGGTGAGTAGGAACTAATTGGTCCCGTGAAAGAAACCATTTAGCTAAGACGAGTGGTCATAAAATCAAGACATGTATTATGCGCTAAAAAAACAGATGAAGTACCCCAAGTCATGTGCTAAATAGTTCATTCTAACGTGTCAAAACTTGCGTTACATGACGGATGATAAGATATCCCATGATTGCTCCACACTGCCATTTTCTTCATATACTGAAATTCACTTTAAAGCTTATAAGTTGGTCAAATTAGTTTATAATCACTTTTTGGCACACCTATTTGTTTGGTAACACCAAAAGTTCTTATAAGTCAAATTCAACCAAATGACATAATTTGGTCACCTTTAAGTTATGATTTTACAACTCATAAACACTTTCGGCCATTTTTACCGAAAAAAGTGTTTATCAACAGGTTTTTACCAAATACAACTACTTGCACTTCCGTCCACATATGTAATTGATTATTTATATAATCAACTTCAACATCTAAAAGTAGTTTTCAGCTCTTGAAACTTATCAACTACTTTTTAATCAGTCAATCCAAACGGGCTCTATGTCTCGAAAATTAGAGATTCGTGTGGTCGTCAATTTGGTGACAAGTATTCAAAATGATAGTGGCTAATCGTAAACTAAAGGTTAAGATGAGAATTTCAGGCGGAAATGTGATCAGAGTAAGGATGGACAAACATCCATCTTCAAAACCAGAAGATAATAGGATTAAGAAATATGTTGCATGGTAAACAAATATATCGTGGGAGAAAGTTGGTATAAGTATTTCCTGAATAAGTATGAATTACACTCTACAAAGGAGATGAACAAAACCAAATGAATGTGTGAAATCGGATGCATATATGTGATCCCACGCCACAAAAGAGTGCAACTTCAGTGTGGATCACTCACCTACTTCCTCCCCAATTATGATAGTAGCTCAAGTTCACGACACATTTAGCGTCCACAAGGTTTCCCTATTTCTATGGCCAATATTGAAGAAGTGAAAAAGCTAATGTATCAAGGTAAGTTTGTGTGAAGAGTCCCACATCGTTCCTTTAAGGGATGAGTGGTTTCCTCAATATGGCTCGGACAATTCTCACCTTTTGAGCTAACATTTGAGGTTGATTTAGGCCCAAAATCCATTTCTTTGAGAGGAGGTGTGAAAAGTCATACATCAGCCCTTCAAGGGATGGGTGATCTCTTTTATACGGCTAAGGAAACCTCTTGAGCTAATCTCTTGGGTTGAGTTAGGTTTAATATTCATTTATCTTCTTTTCACCGGACAATAGGTTTAATATCCATTTATCTTCTTTTCACCGGACACATTATGAGGAGGAAAAAAGTACATTTATCTTCTTTTCACCGGACAGATTAGGAGGAGAAAAAAAGAGTACTAACTTGTAAGATGCTATAACAGATTTATCTCCTGGACATGCTCTGCCATTAAGGAGAATGTTAAGAATTTATATGCCCAAATACTGATATCTACTATAAGAGCTGCCTTAGAACCTAGAGACACATGTTAAAGTTGTGCGGGTCTAGGCTCAAAGCGGACAATATTAATACTGAGTTGAGCCTCCAGCAACTCTCATGCTAAATATTAGAAGAGAAATTGGAGAACATTCAACTGTGATGTATTAATTCGTACTAATTCAACCACGACTCAAACTAGTAGTAGTTGGATGTCTTAATTTGTTTTACTGAGTCTTCATACTGGAGATATATATCAACTACATCATCCATGTGAGGTTAGCTAACCAACTATTACAATTGTTATTTTCAGCCTTGAGTGGAAAAAATGTTCAATGTAGAGAAAATAAAAAAGAATATCTCAATAATAGACTTTATGATTAATGGTTGGTTGGTGGAGGTATACCTAATACCAACTAAAATGACAGCTACGTAAAACTAGACTTAACACAGTAGCGGAAGTGATACATTATTTCAGAGATGAACGTAACAGAAGATTGGATTACTAAACTAATCTAGGAGATTACAATCAAGTTGAGACATTGATAAGCGTTTAACTTTACCCTATCAGTTTGTATAATATAATCTATGGATCTACATGGGATAAACATTGGTCCTTTTCGTTATCCTCGTGTTAGCTCGAGATTATCAAATTAGCTAATTAGTCAATTCGACACAAGAAAAAGTAATGGAATCAAATCCGTTGACTAAGAAGGCAAATTGAGCCGGAAATAGTTTTAGGAAAACAAGAACATTTACCTGGAGATGGAGATGGAGATGGTATAGATATTGGTAATGGTGGTGCGTATCCATAAGTAGGAATCCCAAAAGTAGCAACTGGACAAGAAGCAGATGCATAAGGAAGACCAGGACAAAAGCAAGTTGTTTGATTCGAATATTCATCATATCCACATCTTCCCTTTTCTTCGATACATTTACTGCAGGTTTTACTTTCAAGTTTCCATCTTATATCAAACCCCTCTTGTAGTACTTGTGCCAAACCTGATGTATTCAATGACCCTACATTACCAGCACTCATTTGAGGCACTGGAACTGTGACACTGGCATCGCACTTCCCTGGGCCTACAGCACCAGGCAGTACGAAAACATTGTGATATTTGCTTTTTCTACAAGCGAAAGTACCATCCATTTCCGCAAAGTCGGATGCAACAGGGCAATCGTATAGAAAGGTCAAGTTCGTATAGCCAGAGGCATAATCGAAGAGGGAGTAATCCAGAGTGGTGTTAACCAAATCAACAGGACAAGTTGATTCCATGATATCCTCCCTCAGAATCCTTATCGTTTGGGTTGTTGGAAGTACGTTTAAAACTCGATACTTGATGTTTTCAATTTCCATTGTAGTACTACCATCCTGATTGCAGTTGAGCTCAAAACCAGGATAGCCACAGAAGGAAGGATCATCGACACTCATAAAAGGATAACTTAATCCCTTAATATTGCCACATGTATACGTTTTCCCACAAGTCTCGTAGAATTCATTAGGATTACTCGAACCTTGAGGTACATGAATTAGTATAAGTGATGAAAACAGAGTGAGCAAAGAGTAGAAGTAAAAGCTTTGCGAATTCATTTGGAGAAAATTGAGAAATGGATGTGGCTAAAGGAAGGAGGCAATGGATTATTAAACAAGACTATGGTGAGTAGAAAAGTAGGTGGAAATAAAGCATGAAGAAGATGATATACATAGGAAATTGGGTGATAAAAATGACTTCACTTAATGATACTACACATTTTCTTTATTATGGATGTCATGGAAAAAAAAAATCACATTGACTGAATCTAAACTGTGGAGGAAATCAAAGGTGCTCTCTTAAGGAAAATGAAAACTTACCTAGATAGTTGATTTTTCGGTTGTGGAAAAGAAAAAAAGAAAACAGGATCAACGTTTTGGTGCATCTTTTTTGTCCTTTAGTATTTTTTAATTTCTTATTTATTTGGGATTAGGCAGTGTACTATTACTTGTACATTAGAAAACGATTGGAGGTTTGTTAAGCGTTTCTATCTAAACATAAATATGTCATGGACTATCCAACAACCACATATACTATAATTTGCTTATGAACAACCAGGTTTGGTGGCTTTTACCATTTCTAAGTCCATAGATGACGCATATGTAGGATCATTTGGTGAGTTTTATGAGTCCAAACATAAATATTACGCTAATTCTTGGAAGTAACTTACTTAGAATAAAGATGCACCAAATGGAAGGTGGAGAAGAAGGAGATTTTAGAAGTAGCGGTAGAAGAATCAACAAATTGCAAGGAGAGTCTCATTCTAAAGTAGGAAAGCTTTCTACCTAAAACAAAAGGGGGTATAATGGTAGAGAATGATAATTTCGGAATAAAATATAATAGAGTACTATTTTGTCCCCTATTTGATTGAATTTCATATTCCAATATAAACAATACTTAACTCCGATAAAACAACAAAATTACAGGTTTGACCTCTCCAAAGACTTCTATGAAATCCAAGGTTACAATTGGAAATAAAACACGTTTTAACCTTCCCCAAAGATGATTTTAGTTTTGAATTTGTGTGTCTAAAACTTCATATATACATGTTTGAAGTTCAGCATTGTCTTGCCAAATTTCCGGCGTTATTCACATAAAAAAAAATGGAAGCTAGCTAACACAATCAATATACTGAACTTCAAACGCAAAATTTTACAACTCCAATCCTGTATGCTTGACGTTATTTATAAATTGGCTAAATTTATAAACTTCCATGATGACCAAAACCAATTATTTTTGCACTTCCACTGGATGAGAAGGAACTGGGCTTATAATTTTACTAAGTAGTGCTAGTTCAACAAAGCCAAGCCCATAAAAGCCCAACGTTAGGATGGAATTAGAGAAAAGTTAATTTTTGGCCGGAGTTACATCTTCTAAAGTATGGGTCATTTGCACTTTTTACTTATTTTGTTTGGATCTATAATTTTTGTATTTTAAGATAAATTTTTTTTTTTTCGTGATATATTATTAAATTATATTTTTGCATAGTAATATTTCATAATTTATGCCTTTGCTCCTTGATGTTAAAAAGCTTATGTCTCACTAGATATAAGTTCGGGGAAAAATTGAAACTCATTCGAAAGACAAAACTTTAAGATTGACTCACTTAAAAGGCAAAACGTACCATTAAAAAGATGATGTGTCTAACATAAAAAAGTGTATATATAAATGTTTCTTTCAATTCGAATGGAGAAATCCTTATCGGCACCGCTCTTCCTTCCATGACGATTACCATCCGCTTCTCTCCCAACGCTCAACCATAATTAAAATAATAAATGAAAATATAGATTTTAGAATAGAATACTCTCTTTCTCTCTATGCCATTGGAGATGATTTATGGGAGAAATTCAGTGGCCTTTCTAATGAATTCCTTTTGGCTTCAACTATCAAAATATACAAATTTAATACATTATTACTATTACTATTATTGATTAAACAGTTTTATATTTAACTAGTGCTATCAACTTGTTAAATGAATGCAACTAATTCACTTATAGTTCTCTTAATTAGATTAACTAACAATATAAGAATTCAAAATTAATTGTCGAAAAAATGCAGATATTAAGAAGGAAATCGGAAAAACGTACCAGGCGGTGTAGCCAGGGATGAAAGCGGTTTACTCTTTTCAGTTCCAGAGAAAGGAAGTCCATTGATGCACGCATTATTGGATGATGACGACGACGACGACGAAGAAGAAGATTGATCATCAGGGCACAAACACCTAAATTCATTAGCACCGGCATCAAATCCACAACGTCCCCCAAACTTTTTACATTCCTTACAATGACTAGTATCCACTTTCCATTTCACATCAAACCCCTGTTCCAGCAACTGCTTCAAATCCCCCAAATCTCGAATTATTCCTCCAGACGGTAACTCCTTTCGACCTGGTACAACTATACTAGCATGACATGTCCCAGCTCCCTCTTCACCTCCAATTGTAAAACTATTCTTATAATTCATTCCATTTATCGGACAATTGAACGATCCGATCCAAGGCGAGCACGCGTAATCGAATGTGAAATTCACTAAGCTCGAAGCATACTCGAATGTATTGGAATTATCTATAGTTGAGTTAAATTGACAAATTCCATCTATACCTAGATCTTTTCTAGTAACTGTAATAATTTGAGCATCCAAATTAATATCCAGAACAAGGTAATTTATGTTCGCAATCTGTATTATAGTCTTTTCCTGATCGTCACATTGAAGCTCGAATCCAGGATAACCGCATTCCTTCGGTCGATCATTTCCCCAGAAAGGATAAGTAATTTCAGTTATGTTTGCGCAGTTGAAGGACTTGCCACAGCTGGAAAACAACTTGTTTTCGACGGAAGAGAGAGGAGAAAGATGAATTATGATGAAGAAGAGTACTGTGCAAGCTAGAATTCGAAAAGAGAAAAGGCCTTCCATTTTGAATGCCCAGAGCTAAAAAGGTGTTGTGAGTAGTTAACTAGTAGCACTATGTTTGCCTGTAGAAGGTACAAATAAATAAATGTTGGGTCGAATTTATAAGTCAGAAGCTGAAAAGATAAAATTGTAAGATATTGACGATGACATAAACAAGAATTAGGGGACTGAAGCTGAAAAGATAAAATTGTAAGTAAGATATTGACGATGACATAAACAAGAATTAGGGGACTACATTGACTTCTTAAATAAAAATAATCCAGATTAAGCGCAATTACTGAATGATTAAAATATTTTAGGCGGTTAATGTATAGAAGTTCGAAATATTCTTTGGAGGAAAATATGTATTTTAACATATTGTATCATGTTACTCCTACTATATTATACAACATATGACGTATATCTCTACTTGAAGACTCAACTTAGATATCGTTATTAACATTGTTTTACACAGTTTTGTCTTTCCATCACTTTGTCATTCGCGATGGTATACTTCATTAGAAAATGCAAAATCTTGATATTTTGAAAGAAAGAAATGAAAAGAAGAAAGTTTTTTCTACTCGTCTAAAGTAAAACTGCAAAGTTTTTGGTTCTTTTTCAACTTCTTAGAGAAATTATCATCAATTGACCAGTACAATCACAGAGAATAAAATACAAAAAGAAAAAAGCTTTACTTCTAAATTGACATTTTCATTCACGTAATTCGATCCTCAAAAAAGAAGTCGAGACTTTTACATTCTGCTATATAGTAATAAGACTTTATTTTTATTTATTAATAACATAAGTGGCATAACTATTGTTCGTTCATAAATAGCATAATTTATATACTATATATTGTGTATATACACTCATATATACTATATATTGTTGTTCACCATTTATTCTGTACTATACAAAAAATGAATTATACAATTTAATATAATATACATAATATTAAATTACCTTTATTATGAAATTCAAATTCTTCTATGTTGGATACTAAAAATATTTACACCAGAAATATACCATAATTATGCATTGCTTTTAAAAATACCAGCATCTCTTTCTATAGAAATAGTGAGTTTGTGAGTGTTTATGGTATGAACTTAATTACATTAATATGTATTCGACATATACTATAATTAAAAAAATTAATTTTTCAAACATTAAAGAAGTCATTAACCACAAAGATTATTTTTAGGCATAAATTTGGAACAAATCAGTAGTTAGTATTAGGTTAGTTTTCAGGCAATAAATATGGAATATATCACTAGCTAAGCGTTAGGCGAGATAAACGAGTGTTCAGTTTGTATAGTAATTGCATCAATTTATAGTGGGGTGGGATCGTGAGGGTTGTTTTTTTTTTTCAAGCTGCACACCTGCACCCAGTTCTTTTTGTTTGATGACTCGAACTCACCTATCCAACGGCTAAAGGTTAGCAATATCGTCATGCTCATGTCTGAATATAATTGTTATTATAACTATTTTATGCTAAAAAACTGCAATGAATATTTTAACATTGCTTAGTTCCGCAATCACGTGACTTTACAAAGAAAGCAATTACATAAGCTTGACAAGAAAAAAATTTAAATTAAAGCAAAAAAAACTCGTGCAGAAATATCAAAATTCCTCATCAAGAATCATGAGATCCTGTAATTTTCTCTCCAAAACTTCTGAAGATATCTGTCCCATCATATTGTAAAATGTTTTCAGATCAGATAGCTGTTCCACTGACATTTTCCCCATTACTTTCCTTGCCAACCTTTCTTTCTCTTCATTCATCTTTAATCTCTGCAAATAAGATGATGCATTCCTTACTGTTGCTCCCATTTGCATTAACCTCGTCTCTTGTTGCAAACTCAATGCTGTATTTGACTGCAAACATAACATATATAATTAGCATCGTTAATTCAATCGATAGAGTCAGTAGGTTCAAAATAAGTATGGTCTTATAGCACGTAAGTGAGAATTATTCATGTACCTCGAGGAATTCTGCTCCTACATCTAAGTCTGAAGTTTTAGATGGCTGAAATGTACAGCCTTTTTCGTATAAATCTCTAGCAAGGGAAAAACTTCTAACTATAATTTTCCTCTTCTTCTCCATTTCTTGATTAAGCTTCAATGGCTTTTGGATTGTGGTTGTGCTTAACAGTTTTTTCTGATATGCAACTACAGCCTTCACAAACTCCTGCCAAAATCACATTCAACATAGTGCTGTTAGAACAAAGATAATACGGAAACAGTCAAATATATCTCTGAACTATTCAAAATGGACCAGTTTTATCCTCCGATACATTTTTTGCTCAGAAATACCTAGAATAATTCAAAGGGTAATACCGATAGTCCAATATATGAAAATTGTTTGCAGTAAAGATCTAAATTCAGTAGAGATTGAAGTTTAGAGTGGTACCTGATAAGCAAATGTACATCCGGGATAATCAAATTCATCACTATCTTCTTGCCTCATTCGTTCCGGATGAAATTGAAGTCCCATAATAAACTTACCCTCAGCAGGATTATAAGCATCCGGATCATAAAATCCTTCAACTAAACCATCAGGGGCAAATGCCATAGGAACAAATCTCTGAGCCAATTTTTTAACTCCTTGATGATGATAACTATTGACTGAAATCTCCATTTTTTCGTCTTCCAACGAATCTTTGAACCAATGGTGCAATGGCGTTTCCTCAACAACTTCTATAACATGCCTATGACCATCATAATTATCATAATCCATATGAACAACCCTCTGATTCTCAGGAAGGTTTTTTGATATTTCTTTTCCGATGTCTTGTATAAGAGTTCCCCCACATGCAACATTTAGTACCTGTGAACCTCTGCATATTCCCAAATAGGGAATGTTCCTTTCTAGACAGAGTTTAGCCAATCTGAGTTCGATTGTGTCTTTTTCCTTGTCAATTGCAGTATCGCTAGCGTGCAATCTCCTAATTTCTTCCAATTCTTCGACGGAGAGATTGGATAGTTCATCGTTGTACAGAGAAGGATCGATATCCTCTCCTTCACAGAGAAGAACACCATGAATTGGTTCAAAACTGTCTAATAACATATGTACCCCGGAAACTCTGGGTACAATCACCGGAACAGCTCCATAGCTTACTATAAGATCGAGATGATATTCTCCTGAAAATTAATCGCAATCAATTTCAAAATCTAAAATCCAGAATTTACAATCTTTTTGATAAATATGTGCAAGAAAAGTAACGTACCAACAAAATCAACAAATTTGTTCTTACGAACGGTACGTCTAGAGACGATGAGCACGCGGGGGAGAACAACTGAGAGCTCCTCGACAGCCATGGCAGCACGATAGTTTTGCTTTAATTTTTTCTTTTTTTTTTTCTTTTTGCAACTACTTATGAGTAGTAGCTAAAATGCAAATACTAAAAGAGATGAGAATTTAATTTAGATAAAGAGTGCTATTTAAGGGGGGAAGAATGAGACACACAAAGTTGAATTAGTGAATGGTTTAGAGAAAAATGAGAGAAAATTGCGGGGTTTTATAGGGCGATCGCCGCGTAATTGGTTTACCATAATAATTTGTCTAGTATGACTAGGAAAGAGAGAGAGAAATAGGGTTAATCCAAATTAAAACAAGTTTAAGGATTTAATGATTTTTCCTTGTTTTTGTTAATAATAATATTAGATCCCACGTGGACAAATGCACATCTAATGGAGGCTCTTCCAAGGCGGGTCAAAGCTGAGGAATTGCTGACCTGGATCTGCCTATATTCGGATAAAACCTTTCTCCCCAATAGGAAAAAATGGATCCAACAAATAAAGTGCGATAGTTTCTCCTTTGCTACCTTTCTTGAACGACTTAAAAAATATCACGTCCACTTTTACTCATTCATTTTTAAAAATAGATTTTCCTTTTTAATACTCCTATTTCAAGCTTTTTTGTTCTATTTTATCCTCAATTTTAATTACCTATTTCTCGTAATTGTTCTCAAAATCTAAAATTATACATCAATTAATATAAACATTACAATATAATACTCATATTAATCATTGTTTATCAAGAAATGTACAAAACCCTAAATGAACAAATAAAAATGAATGAAGAGAGTCCTTGTGCGATTTTATATATCTCACAAAATAATTACTGTAATGTTTATATGAATCAAGTAACTTTAGCAAAAGTATGATATTTATATATGTTAAATTTTGATTAAATAATTATAAATAATTAATTTACAAGCTATAAGTCAAATAAATTGTAACACAATTCAAACTTTAAACATGTAAATTTAAATTATGAATCAGCACCTCCGTATGCACGTGTTTCTTATTTTGTTTGGTGTAAACTCCACGAATTAGCATGAATTTCTCCTAGTGAGGTGGGACAGTCTGAATTTAGGACTTTTCAAATTTTGATTAAATAATTATAAATAATTAATTTACAAGCTATAAATCAAATAAATTGTAACACAATTCAAACTTTAAATATGTAAATTTAAATTATGAATCAGCATCTCCGTATGCACGTGTTTCTTATTTTGCTTGGTGTAAACTCCACGAATTAGCATGAATTTCTCCTAGTGAGGTGGGACAGTCTGAATTTAGGACTTTTCCAAATTTAATTGTTCCTCCACTTTAGGCCAATAATAAGGGGTCTTAATTAGTGGGCAAAATTGTAGCCCACTCCACATAATTAAGTGGCTCTTCCATTTCCCTCGAGTCATTTAGATACTGTTAGCATAGGGTAACTGCTCCTAGTCAACAGCCCTTTAACTACTCTGAAAATCAATGCTATTACTGGGAAATTTCTAGTTTAATTAGTTAACTAATGTGTGAGACTCCACGAGTTTCTTGTTTTTTTTGGTAACTATTTATAGACGAATCTATTGACCACAAATTAGTTGTTCCTTCATCCCAATTCCAACCCCCTCCCCTATTTTATATGGGGATTAAGAAATCATTAATAAATCAATCAATTTTTTTTTCTGTTCCATATTAGTTGATCACTTTTCATTTTGTACGGTGCTTAAGAAATCATAATTTTA